ATGCAGATGGTAACCTAGAGAGCATAACAGGGTTAGCAAAACAATGCTCCGATTCTTGTCATCATATGATGGGAACAAACAATAATCAACCAAGATTTGGATAGCAAGGAAAACAAAACAGGGAGAGATAAAATCTCGTACTAGGGCTGTTAAACGGTCCGGTTTGGTTAAAACATGACCCGATTAACCTAGTTTTTTAAAACCATTCAGCCCATACCACAACTGGAGACAGGGTTTCATTCAGTGGGCTGGTTCTGGGCTCAAGAAATAGACAAATTAGGGATTCGGTTTTCTGGTTTTAACCGGACCGATCTGGGACAATTTTTTGGGTGGCCATTACAACCGCAAATTGGATTGGGTAAAGAGGAATCCGGTTTCCGGTCATAACCAGAACGGTTTAAACTAGTCGGTTTCTGGTTTGACCGAAAAACCAAGACCGGATTCTCAGTCCTACCTAGTACCTGAAAAAGTCATCAATGGACTTTTAAGCTACGAGCTCGCCACATGGATGGCACTCATCTCTTCATTGCACAATCAAAATATAGAGAGACGCCACCCAGAGACAATAATTCTCCAGTTCCCCTCGTTAGGCGCAACTCATAACCTTCTAAAAAGACATGTGAGTCCAAACAACCCGCTCATTAGCACAAGCGAAACAGATCTAACCCTAACCACATTCAAACAATCTTCAATTTCATAAAACCAGAGAAATCATAATAAAAACAAAAGGATTCAACTCGTATATCATATTCGCAGACAAGGAAACCAGCAAACAATCTCAAACCCACCTAACCGAACAAGTTTAGGTCAATGAAGGATTTTGTTTTCCTTTCCCGGGACGATGAACACACCGCGGCAGAGGGCCATTATATATCTCTTCTTTTTCCGACCGCCTCTCTGTATTTATATATTATAATAATAATAAATCCCTAAACCCTACATTTGAAAAACTTTTGTTGATAAACATACTAAATCTTTTGGCTAATTGGCGGAGTCATTGATGCCTAAGGAAAATTAGGCTTTAAGGTTAATTAATTCAAGCCTGGAAAGCCCGCCAAGATTTTTCATTTTCTAGTCATACCGCGTAAACTTATTCAGTTTTTTGGGGACAACTTAAAAGAGTCCAACCCAAATAATTAGTTAACACTTGTTTTATAGAGACAATTTTTCATACGTGTCCCCTAAATTACTTATTATTGCGTTTGCAGAGACAAATTAATATAGATGTCCCCTAGGTTCGTCCCTAATGCTCCTCTATTTTGTAGTGAATACTTGCTTTTGAAGTTGATATTGACTTTATATGTTGCAACTGCAAGCTGCGAAAGAGCATTTTAAGCTATGAAGATAATCAAGAACGATCTTCGAAATCGGTTGAGTGAACAATTTATGAATGATTGTTTAGTTGTGGGGTAAAATACCTCGGGCGCCACTTAAATTTGAGAATTGGGGTAGGCATACCACTTAAGTTTGAATAGGGAGTCGGGTATCACTGAGCTCTATTATATGTGCACCCGGTACCATTTAAGTTTACTCTTAAGTGCATTCCGTTAAAGTTGACACAATATTATTGGAATATTCCATTTTCTAAATTTCATAATTGGTCATTCTTCTTTTCTTATTGTAAAAAAATCATTTCGACTTATGAAATATTTCATTATTTATTATTTAGTTAGAACCTCTTTTGAATACATTATACCGAACCAATTTTTGAATAGAAATTTTAGAATCAAATATCATTATAATTATTTTCAATTATCATTATGTGTTCTAATAATTGAATTATTCAATGAATGTTGCAACTAAACAATGTTGTATCTCTTATGGTCATATTTTCTTTTCTACATTTTTGACAGAATATTGTAGCTTTTATATTTTGTTTATTACTTGGTTACTTTTTCATCTCTTTTCGTTCTAACTTTTTTTAATTGGTTAAATATGTTTAATTCTTTCTAATTGTGTTCTATTTATCCTTTTCTTATTTTGATGCATTGATGATTAATTTGGTTCTATTTTAACTACTTTATTTTGGTAAAACTATTTTAACTATTTCTAATGGTGCTTCTAATTGAATTAAGAGGTTTAAATAGATATTATAATATTTATTTTAAGTATTTATTATTATATTATAATATATTTATTCTTCTTCTTGATATTTGTTTCCTATTTTTACTAATTTATCTATTTTATTGAAAAACTTTTATTAGTCATTCTAGTAATAATATGTTTAGAAGGTTTTCTAATTATTATATTAGATAAAATTTGTTGAAATATATTTTTGGATGTTTTTAAAAGTTTTGGGTGTCAAAAAGTAATTAAACGTTTGGGTTGGATAGAAAAGTAGACGGATGCACATTTTGGCAACTTTAATGGTACCTGACACCCTATTCAAACTTAAGTGGTATGCCTACCCCAATTCTCAAACTTAAGTGGCACCCGAGGTATTTTACCCTTTAGTTGTGTGTATTCGGAAAAAATTTGCTTTGCAACATAAGTGATAAATGTATTTTAGAGACATTTTAGTTGATGAAAAGTCGGCGGGATTCGTTGTAAACATGACATTTTGAATTTTATAAATTAATTTCTAGTTAATTTTTTATTTTATCTTTTAATTGGGTAAATGACAAGTTTGGTCACTGGGATTACTACAAAAGGTCACGTTGGGTCACTAGAAATATTTTATTCCGTTTGTGGTCACAAACTTTATACTCTCGTGTTACTCTCCGTCCATTTCCATTACTTTCATCCTACGTGGCAGTCAACTCTAAAGTTGACCATTTAATATGTGACGTGGCAATTAAAAAATTGATAAAAAAAAAAAATTTAATATTTTTATCATTTCCACCTCATTATAAAAAACTTAAAAATAAAAGATAAATTCTTTTAAACCTACAATCACTGCGACGCGGATTGACGTGGTGATGGGGAGGGACCTTGCCGGAGTGCTGATCTTCGAAGAAGAGCATACTCTTGCGAAGTGCGTCGTGGGAGTCGTTGTCGGCGAAGGTTTAAGATAAATATGTAAGGGAAGGGGATGCGGAGTAGGGATCGGGCTAAGATGATGGGTGTGGTTTGAGTCGTCCGGAAGAACAAGGGTTCCGAGGAGGGTTTCCTTAATCGTTCAAAAATCAATGGGTCTCCTCGTGGGTGAAAATCACTGACTCGCTTGTACCGTCACACTAGAAAGTGTCCAAGTGTAACCACCTACTAATGCGTGGTATAGCGGGTTTAGTTCTAGGGATCGTTTGGATGAGGAATTCTAATGGATCAATGTGACACAATTGTCTCTTTTTTAGACAATTGTGGCAGATTGATCCGTTTGGCAGCAGAAAATTTGGATGAAGCAATTTGGCTGGGGAATTCTGAATTGACTCATGTTGAGCCAATTACAGTTATATGGGGTGGGGGCAGGTAATCTGAATTGACTCGTTTTAAATGACTTGTTTGTAAAATGAAACAATTGGCCAAATTGTCTCGTTTTACAATTGATCCATCCAAACGGCCCCTAAATGTCAACCCGGGTCCTAGGTGTGATGACTACTCCATGAGATTCTTATTATTTAGCGGTTCAACTGTAGTGAAGTTCCAACTAAACTAGCAAGCAAAAGCAGCAAATGTTGTGTTCCAAGTTTGAGAGAGGTCACCTAGATATGGTTCCCCCTAGACTGCAGTTAAGCCAAGTTGTAATTTGCCAAGTTCAGATTCAATGATAATTATACTGCGGGAGGTTCTTAGATAGTCTGCATTCTCGACTAAAGGTCTCCAGACCCTCTCAATTTGAGTCCCTAGCGGGCGACTAACCTCCACCGGAGTAAACAGACTGAGGCCCTAACGTACCAAATCTCCTCTACTGAAATAAATCTAGTACAAAATAGTGAATTGACGACTTTAGTCAATCAAGGGTGCTCTATCAACCTAGGTAGATATTCTCATTCTAGGTCAAAGCAGGAATAACATGAATTTGATCAGGATTCATGCAATTCAGAAAACCATGTCTCAATTGAATATAATCAGTATCAAAGAATTTGTACTTGGGTTCATACAACCAGACCTAACATACAAATCTAAGGTTCTTCATACCCAGGCGAGTGAGAGAGTTTACTCCATAGAGAGAGAAGGGAAATCTAGGTCAGATGCATAATCATGCTGTGAAGGATGAGAATCTGCTTCTGGTAGTCAATCGACACTTCTCCAAGCCTTAACCGAGCTCCAATGGTGATGAAAATCGATCTAGGGCGCTTGGAGACTTTGGTTCATCATTTTCTCTCTCTAGGTATCTGCTTTCTTTCTCTAAAATTCGGATCCCTCTCAAAAATGGCCTTCTTTCCCTCAAAAGGGAGCAGATCGCGATACCCGGCCGTAATACCCGGTCGGGTATTTCAGGAGGTCGGCCGGGTATTTTGAAACACAACATCGTGGGGGAAAGGGGAATACCCGATCGATGTCCAGAATACCCGATCAGGTATTTAAGCATTCCGGCCGAGACCCCTTCTGCTTCCTTGCCTCCAAAGCGTGTTTTACCCGGCCTCCCTCGCATTTTACCCGGTCGGGTATTTCAGCTCCTGACCGGGTATTTTCATCTGACAGCTCCTCTGGATCCAGCCTTCCACTTTCCGACCCGAAACTCGTTCCCACGCCTCAATATCCACGCCAAGTCCTGAAATATGACATAAACGAACAACCTAGCGTGAAATCGGCCTAAAACACGAGAATCGACTCTCAAACGGTTCAAGAAATGGTGGTCAAAACATGTGCAAATAATGGTTTATCAATCACACCTCCTCCAGGTTTTGCACTCACTAAATCCTGCGCTTCTTTTCCCTTTTCTAAGTTGAATTTGTCCCCTTCCATTCTCTTTTCTTCAATGTGGCGCCTTTCCTCTTCAACCTTCTCCCTCATTTTCTTCCCTAGACCAAGCATCCTCGCTCTTCGTCCTTGTCTCTTAGGCTTTTCAATTCCCTTGATTGAATGAGTGAGTGCACTCTACCTATATGGGGAAAGAGGTTAGCCAACCTCTCCATTCGAACTCTCCCTGTCTCTCGCCATGGATCCACTGCACAAGACCCAGATCAACGCTTCTGCGCTCTTTAAGTTTTAGGTGAGCGAATTAAGTTTATGGGTTCTGTTGGGTTCTTCATTTTGCCTCTGAAATTCATTTGAATATGGCTAGGCGATGAGGGTTGACCTTTCATCCTTCACGGGTTGAATCTGTTGTCGCTGCTACTGAAACTTTTAGGGAAGGGATGTAAAAGATCGTAGAGATTGCGACCACTGAGCGATTGGCTGGCAGCAGTGGTGGATGAGTGAGAATTGAGCAGCAGTGGGAATGGATTTCTGGAGGCAGAGGGGGAGGAAGATGACAACCGTGGTGGTGGTGGCCATGGAAGAATACAATGAGGGGTGAGGTTGGGTCGGTGGGGTATGGGGATTAGTATAAGAGAAATTAGGTTTTTTTTATTTTATTTTTAATGAATTTGATAATGTGGTGGAAATTTAAAAATTAAAAATTAAATTATTTTTTAATTGCCACGTCACACTTTTAATGGTCAACCATAAGAAATGACTGCCACGTAGGACAAAGTTAACGGACATGGACGAAGAGTGACCATTGATGAAACGAGAGTACAAAGTTAGTGACCACGGATGGAATAAAATATTTTTTTAGATGAGAATCTAAAAATTTCATTAAGTACAGGCCATCGGCAAAAAACCCAGATTCCTCTCAAACAACCATATACAAGAGCTAACGAGCTACTATATCTAACAGAAAGAAAAGAAAACCTAGCTGTGAAACTTCTATACTAAGTCCAGGAGTCAAGAATTCTCTGCATATCTGGATCTCCATTCACCCTACATGTAACTTCACCTCACACTATACTACTGATCTTTAGAGGGGATCGAGCTGGCCGAGCACCATACATTCACAAACATCACTCACGCCAAACATAGCTTAAAGCAACACACCAGGTGAGTGTGAGCCTACAAACTTTTGACTTAGCAAGACCTCCTCCCCATTGCTTAACACACCAATCTATCAAAGGCTCCCACATAAGAAAAAGAGGGGGAGCATTCAACCTTAAACACTTCTGCAACACACAGCCTGTACATGAGCAGTGCATCAATAGATAAACTTTGTTTTCCACCCCTCCTAGACACAATAAGCATAGTCCAGAAACAGGTTTTCCCCAACGCAATAGCTTGTCCTGAGTAGTCAGACGATCATGCATAGCAAGCCAAACAATAAATCCATGTCGATTTATAACTTCTTTCCCCCATATCAGCTTAGCCCAAGACACCCCAGGGACATGCTGCCTAATAGATTGCCAAACTTCAATAACTGAGAAACTGTCCATCTGTTCACCTTGCCACAGAACATCTGGCATCACTCTAGTAATAAATTGTGCAGCCAGACTTCTACACTTCAAAATCCTTTTCCATATCCACATCCCTGCAGAACGAGAAGTGACATTCCAAATGCTCTGCTGCTTCAAACGGTAACGTCTCACCCAAGCTACCCAAAGAGAGCCACCATTAGTCAATATATCCCATATGTGCCTTAAAACACAAGCCTTGTTCCAGATCCCAGAATTTCTAATGCCCAAGATACCCTTCTGTTTTGGTTTTGCCAGCAGATCCTAAGCCATGACATCATTTTTTCTTATGCCATCCTCACCTGAATTCCAAAAAAATTCATTGCAGAGTTTTTCCACTTCCTTAATCACATACTGAGGCATCAAAAACAAGTTAAGCCAGTATTGCAAAGTACTAGAGATGACTGAAGACACAAGTTAAATTGTTCCAGCATAGCTAAGAGTTTTTGTTCTCCATAACCTCAATTTCTGAGTAATTCAATCAATTAAAACTTGGCAGTCTCTTCGAGAAAGCTTGCCCGTAAGCAGAGGGACTCCCAGATACTTCACAGGTAAAGAACCAAGTGGAAATTCATAATAAGCCGATATATCCTCTTTTTCCTCTTGAGAAACCCCTACATAAAATAGTTGACATTTTGCTAGGTTGCACCTTAAACCAGAAATAGAATAGAATTTGTCCATCAAACGCCTAATTCCAGCAACCCCTCGTACTTAACCATAGTAAACATCATCAGATCATCAGCGAAGCACAAGTGGGTTATCTGAAGCAGGTTTACACCTTGGATGAAGAGGAATCTGGTTATCAGCCACATATTTCTTCACTAAGTAATCCAGAAATTCCATAGCTATAACAAACAAATAAGGGGACAGTGGGTCCCCTTGTCTTAGACCTTTCCTAACTGAAATTTTTTCACATAAACCACCATTCACATCTATTTGAATCTTAGGTCACACAATTCGTGTGAAAGGAGTCGGAGCTCCCGCTTTGGAGCGCAAAAACGCGATTTTGAATGGATTAGCGAAAAAATCGTGATTAATTATCTAGGGCTGGTAAACGGTTAGCCGGTTACCGGTTATACCGTTAACTGACGGTTTCGGTATACGGTAGACAAAACGCAGGTGTCGGTATACCGAACCATATCCGGTTAGTAACCGGCGGTTACTCGGTATACCGATTATAGGGGGAGCCCCATCCCTTTATCGATTCATTCACAATCCATTCATCCTGTTCTCTCCTCTCTCTCTCATCTCCCTCAAGAAAAAACTCCCTCTCACCTTTGAACCCATTAACAAAACCTCACCGTCGCTGATTCATTCTCTATCTTCATGTGCCGTCGTCGGAGAGACTGCTAGAGTGATGGGTTCGTTGCTCGCCTAGCAGCCACCGCCTTTCTCCACTCCTCTACCGCCGTCCGTCGCCGCTGCTATTGTGGAGAACCCAGAACCCAGCGCTTCGCTCTCCCTCTCAAACCCACAACCCCATCCGGCGACTCGCCCTCCATCTCGATCCCAGATCCGATGCCATGCAATCTCCCTCGCTCGACGGCTCTCCCTTCCTCCCGAGACCAGATCTGGCACCATGCTGTCTCCCTATCACGGCGGTTTTCAGTCCATCGAGATTCCAGATCCGAAGCCGCCGCCAGGAATCTATACTGCCCACAGGCCGCCAGCGACTCGCCTTCCATCTTTGATTCCAGATCTGGAGCTGCCGCCGAGACACGATGATGCCCACTCTCTTTCATCTTCAACCTAGGTCAATGAATCTCTAGATCGGCACCACTCTCACCCCATCTCGATTCCAGATCTGCCAGAGAAAGAGAAAGCGTTTACCAGTTTTTCGGATAACCGGGAAGATAACCGTTACCGGAAAGTCAGTAAGCCGGTTAACCGGCAATTACTCGGTACCGGTAGTCGGAGGATACACTGGAATTTCGGTAATACCTATAACCGGTAATTCGGTAACCGGTTATACCGATACCGACCGATTACCAGCCTTATAATTATCTGTTGGAGCACGATTTCTTCGGAAAATTCACGATTTTATTTTACATGGATAGAGTGGAAGAGATGAAGAGTAACTGTCGACGGCGATGACTGTCGATTTGGGGAAGGAGATGGAATCACCGGTCGGGCTGATGGGGGAACCTAGAAGGGTCGAATCTGCATCTGAAAGAAGCTTTCTTCATCATGAAGATCTTGAACTGTGGGGGAGGATATTGGTCGGCAGAGGGATATGCAAAGCCAACGAATGGGGAGCAAGCGGGGAGAGGAAATTGAGGCAATAGATGATCGGGGAGAGAAATCCAGTGTTGGTGATTCTGCATGTAAGAATTGGGTAGTGGATTGATTCGGTACCGTTGTCTCTTCGTTTCTTTATTCCTCGGAGAAAACAATTGATTGAGCACCTTGCAGCGAGCAGCACAATGCCAAATCTCGGTGTTTTATCTTCTTTCCATCCCCTTCAGCTTCTAACTTCGTGCTCGTCATCAGAGCTGTAGTGCCCTCTCTATATTTAACCAATTGCTTCATATTTGATATGCTCGAAGGAAAGGGGAAAGTTCTGTAGGGAGTGAATTATTGGTGAGAGAGAGAGAGACATAATATTTGGTTTGATTATTAGAAGTGGGGACGGGTTGTGGAAGACAAAAGTACTATGAGGTTTTTTAACCCAAGTATTAGGTTTATTTGGATTTTCTTTTTCTTTAGTTTATTTTTCCTTACATGATGATATTTGGTAAGCATGTGATAGTATATTGATAATATTTAAATTAAAATAATATAATATTAAATTCCACACTCTGAATATATAATTCTTTCAAAATAGACGCTTCCACGCTCTCGCTCCCGCTCCACGAATCGGTATCCTAACTTGAATCAGAAGAGTAGTGATACGGCCTTTAACCAATTTCACATAACCATAAGGAGAGTCCATAGCAGCCATCACACTGAATAAAAACCCCAGTCAACTGAGCCAAAAGTCTTCATGAGATCAATCTTAACAGCACATCTAGGAGTGATTACTTTTTTGCAATGTTGTCAAAACCGAGCCGAAACATGACCCGATAACGTGAACGACACGCACTTTAGTGGTCCAACCGGTCTTGAACCATAAAAAAACCCGTTAGAAAACTGACACCTTATAAATAATAATATTATAAGTAGAATACATATAAGATAGTATATTAATAATTCAGTGACTAAAATAAACAAATTAACAATGTGTAAACAAATTTAACCATTTACATTATATATATAACAAATTAACAACTAAAAAGTAAAAAACCTACTCTATGCACCCCATCCAACCACAACCACACACTGCACACCCCTCTCTCTATTTTTCAATATCTAACAAATAAAGAACCAAAAAGGAAAAAAGTGAAAGCAAAAAACCCCACTCCAAACCCCCTGCCACCGGCAGCGCCACTTATCTCTCTCTATCTTCAATTTCTTCCTCCCTCTTCTTGCAAAACACACGAACCAAAATAAACCACACAACAATCATCTCACCTTCTACTTCTCATCTGATGCTCTGGAATTGGATTCTTCTAATCCTTCACTATAAACGATCGACCTCCATCACCCTCTTTGTTTCATCTCTTGATCTAGCTTTGTCACTCTTGAAGGACGGTGGAGACAACGACGATGGAGGACAGTTATCGGCCACCGACGCCTTTTTGCTTGTGAGCATATATAGTGGCTTCAAACCCAATATTTTTTTAAAGCAGACGGGTCATGTGCCAAAAACCGGTCGAGCGGTTCGTGCGACTCGGATGATTAACCGTCCGGCCGCTCAAAAACCGTCCTTCTGGGGCCTTCCGATTATTTGAGTGTATCGAGTCGGACTGACGACCGGGTGCCGAATTTACCGGTCTGACCGGCCGGTCTGGCTCGGTTTTAATAACACTGCTTTTTTGTGATAATCTCTCACTGATCAGGTTAGGCAAAACTTTAGCCATCCGATTTGTAAACAACTTAGAAATCCCTTTATACAAGACATTGCAACAAGATATGGGTCTATAGCCT